AAATTAAATAACTCATCACCAAATCCAACAGCTGGTAAGTGGTGGAAAGGGTCAGAAGCTCAGAGAACAGGCCTGTGGGCCTGTGCACGCAGTCACTAGTTTACGGTGCCCATAGTATTTGGACCCTTCAGAGGAAAGCAGCAAGCAACCCAGAGCAGGCCACCTGCCTCCTCCGGGATGGACGACAAGGAGACGGGTGGGGTGGCCGCAGGAAGTCTTGTCCAGCCCTGATGCCCTTTGGAAGATTTAGAGGACAAGTGATGATGTCTGTCCGCAAAATCAGGGTCAGCCAAATGTTGTGCAGAATAGTCTGGATTGACTCCTAAGCCTTTCGATGAGCAGTTAAACCAGGCAGGCTTATCTGGTGACAGTCCTCCTGGGGTGACGTCATTGCTCACCCTGGCATCGGCCACCGAAGGCTGGCGGAAGCGTGCTGCCAACCTTGCGCGTTTCCCAAGGCTGAGAGACCTCGCCCAGCGCACCATCCTTGGGAACTGAGACCCGGGAAAAGTCTTGCAGCTCTTTCTTCCTTTTTCTCAGAAGGAGAAGCTGGACGTGGAGGCTGGTCCACTGTGGTTTTATTTAGATTGTGCTTAGCCAGCATCCTCCAGCACCCTCTAATCACACAAACTGAGTGCAGAAACCGCACTGATGGCTCCAGTAACGAGCTGCTGTACAGGGCGATGAGGTAGGGATTAGAGGAGGGAACAGACTCAGGCTACCAGGGGAGGGCTTGAAGCTTGCTCTCTCCAATTTCACCTGTCCCCGCTGTCCCCACTCCCAGCCCCTTGTCCTTCACCACCCTCGTATTTCTGTTTCATGGTGCAAGATATTAAAACTGTCTGTGGGTTTCAGGGAGGTATTTAGTATCCAGTAATCAAAACGCCCTGGGCCAGAAATGCATCAGTTTAAATGGACTTTGTTTTAGGCATATGTGAATTGCTTTTATTTAAAAGAGAGAGAATCTGGGGCCCACAGACCCCATGGTTGGGCCTTTACGAGATCATTCTTTCCTGCCTCTGCCTCTAACTAGGCTCCAGTTACCTTTAAAGATGTGCAGAGAAAGCCGCCCTCTAACCATCTTTGGTCATCCATTCCAGCCCTTAATTGGCCTTTCTCTCAGGAAATGTTTATCATCTAACCTGAATCTCCCACACAGAGTACTACACAAACTCATTTCCTCTTGGTTGGCAACGGAAGAAGCGTTTCAGTATATGATCCGGCCGTGCTTCATTCTGTATTTGAAGACAGTTCATTACGCTGCTCTTACGGCCTCGTCCACATTTCTATCAGAATTTCCAGTTTCTCTGATAGCAACAAGTTCCTCTTCGTGAATGCCCACTGCCCACTTCTTTCTCTGGTCCGTGAGCCAGCCCATGTCCTGCGGGAGAGAGAGTCTGTGTCCTCACCTCGATGGGGGGGACTGACTGTCCTGTGGCAGCCGCGTTGGAGGGGACACACCTGTCCGTGCTATTGGGAGCTGCCTGCCCTTGGCATCCCTGGGGCTGGAGGGATGTGGGTGGGTGTGGGTGGGGACCTGCCCCTTCTGCGTCCCACTCACTTGGGTGGGCACCCAGGAGAAATCTAGCTTCTCACCTGCTATTTTTCACTTAAGTTCCCTCCTGGAAGTTTCTGCTGAATAATGGACTTTGGAGTTTGCAGGGCTCCAGAAGTAGTAGACAGGTGTTGGATGTCTTGTGTCTGCAGGAAAAGGAGGCCTGAACAGTTGAGAATAAACAACAGTTGCTTGGTAACATGAGCTCCTTTCATTAAAGTCAGAGGCCTGGCTGTGTGAGCTGGGGGCAGGGAGGCCTGGCTGGTCTGGCACCACCTGTCTGGAGGGGCCACAGGTGAGGGCAGTTACCTGGAGAACCGCCCAGTCGGCTGAGAGTGAAATATGGGAGACAAGTGGAAGGGTGGGGGGACTTGGGAGGAATGCAGTGGCTCAGATCCTGAAGCTCTTTAGTCCTGACCCCCTGACACCAGCTCCTGTGAGAAATTGTTTTGCAGAACTTTGCACTTCCCTTTCCACACTTGTAAAATACGGATGGAACTGAGTAGCCACACGTCGTTTCGTGACATACCCAACTAAAATCAGGGCTGGTAAAATGCTGGTGCTCCAAGGGACCTGCTTTCCAGAGCTGATGCACTTGATGAGATTTGGGTGGCCTCTGAGTGGCTTCAGATGACCCAGGTTCAAGTTCTGGCTTTGTCATGGATCAGTTATTGTGTTTTTATCTCTGACCTTGGATATCTTCCTGTGCGTCACTTCAATAAATTGTAAAAATGAGGGTAATAACATCTGTCCTCACTGCTAGGGTCACTGGGAAGATAAAGTATTACAGATGAAAGCCTTTGTGACAGTGTAAAGGTTGCTTTACAAACAAAACACACAGGACACTGGACAGAATCAAAGGGAGGGCAAACTTGGTCCTTCCTTTTAATGTGTGTAGTTTTCACAGCAATGATGACTTGCAGCTGGAGGGCATTTCATTTTCAAACTAGTGTCCCATTTATCATCTTCCTTGACAGTGCCACAGTGGAAAGGAAACAGCTGAGGGTGGTGGGATGGGGATGCGTTTTTTTTTAAATTTTCTTTATTGAAGTAGAGTTGATTTGCAATGTTGTGTTAGTTTCTGGTGGATGTGTTTTGAGTAGGGTTTTATTGGGTGACAAGGACCTTCTTTTCTTTAAGCCGAGACTGCAGGTGGAGGTGAGCTAGGACAGTGGCTGGGGGCTTCAGGTACTCTGGGTATCTGCTTCCCAAGTGAAACCATTGCAGACTTAGTGTGGAGGAGGTTTTCCCTCAGGCCAGGAGAAATGTAAATGATCACTCTCAACTACTGCTGGGCACAAGGCTTAAATTAAACCTCATAGGGTTTTAGATTTTAGGTCCAGCATCTCTTGTGGGTGGAAAAGGGGCTGAAGTGTGTGGGAGGAGGAAGCTGCTTGTTTTTCTTCCTTTCAAGGGGTGTACATTTAAATTCAGAGGGCGCACGGTCCCCTTAAGGGGGCCAATCCCCTTGCTGAATCTCCCTCTCCCCAAAATACCCATGGAACCCTCTGGCCCCTGTCTGTGCACCCTCCTGTTTTGTTCCATCTTGTTCTATTTTTTGGCTTCCCAGTGAATGACGAGCAGTGAGCCCACCCACCTTCCTTCTGCCCCTTAAACACCTGAGACGCCGCTCTCTTAGTTCAACTGCCCCCTTAACAAGCAGGTTCCTTGAACTGAAAAGTTACCAGATCCCCGGCAACCCGCTCGTCTTTGGAGGAAATCCAAGGCAGTGAGCAGCTCTGTGGCTTCGCTCCGGACCCTGAAGTTTGGAGGGACAGCTTGGCTTCCTGGGCATTCCCGGAGCCGGAAGCAGTGTCCTGCCGCTTGCCAGGCCTGACACCTGATGGGAAGGAGTTGATCCTTTCCGGGACACATCCAGGAGTTAAAATAGAGTGATACCAAGCCACCCTTGAGAGAGCCAGTGGCCGGATGTGGAGAAGGGTCAGAGATAAGACAGGCCCGCTGTTCCAGGGAGTCATTTACAGGTGGGCCTGGCTCTGGCATTTCGGCTTCAGTCTCTCTCTCTCCCGGAGCAAAACATACTTCCCTCAGATTCCTGGCCTCATGGAGGTTGTGCAGGGTCACAATGCCTGGAGCTCCCCCCATGTGTCATTGCAGGGCATGGTGGACCCATGGCCAGCTGTCACACTTGAACTGCAGGGACATATTTTCTTACAGTGAGTTCTGGTGGTCTTTAGGAATGTGATTTTTTTTCCCTCAGCTTTGGGACACTTGTGAAATGTTCTCATGACCTTCATGCTGGCACAGAAGCTGGGCATTGTTTCCCTACTGGACTCACGGAGAGGGGCAGAGAGGATTGGGTGAATTGCACTGTGGACTTAATGCTGCACTATTTGTACTCCTACTGGTCTCTTTGAAAGCCATCATCTCTACTTTAGCTCTCGTGCAGGACTTACTGGAGAGGCACATGCGCTGTGGGCTGGGAGGAAAGATGGGCGGTAACAGTCTGTGATCTAGGAGCTGGGCTGCTTTAGACTCAGTCCTGACACAGGGCTCCTCGGTAAGGTGGATCAGTTCTAGGGCCAATCTCCTAGGGTGGTACCTGGGTCTAGGGAGTGAGGGGTTCAGCATAGCTTGGGACACTACAGGACTGACCCAGACTTTCGAGTTTCCATGACCTGGGGACATACAGACTTTTTGTGACGCAGTCCATGCCCCCTGCAGGTTGAAGCAGACTTGATCCAGCCCCCAGGAATGTAAAGGGAGTACCCTTAGCTCCCTGAGACTCACTTTGCTGGATGCTTCACCTTCTGGGTGCTCACCTTCCTCTAATTTCATTCTGTGCTTGGGATGGGGCTCTGGTATTGACGGGGTCACTCCAGATGCACGGAGATCACTCCCTTTTCCAGACTGGTCCTGTGTGTCCTGTGTCTCTCAGGTCCTACTGTCTGTCCTTCCTCCATATGTCATGTCTGCTGTCCTCGGCTTATTCCACAGAGCTGTCCTCTCTTCTCAGCCTGTCATTTTGGAAGCGGCCTCCAGAACTGCACCCCCCTGCACCCCAAGTTATTCAGAGAGAGCACCTTTCTCAGGAGAGGAGATCCAGCCGAAGAGTCCCTAGTCTTCCCTCAACCCTGTATCCTGACTGAATTCCTCGGTTCCTCCCTTCCCCTGCTCCCCCTCAAAGAAAAAGCAGGGAGTTAGATTAATGAGAGCTGCCTGGCCAGCCGTCGCTTTGAGAAAGTTTGGGCTGTGATCCTATTTCATTCGGCTGATTGGAGCAGCCTTGGCTCGGAGGTAGCGTCCCTCCCCAGGGATCCCGGGTACAGTTACGCCAGCCGTTGCCGCCTGTGCACGCCCTTTCTGGACAGACGTGACCCCCGCTCCTCGCCCCCTGTTCCTCCTCTTTTGTTTTCATCCAGCGTCTGCTTCCTCTCTCTCTCTCTCCCTCTGCCTCCTCCTCCCGCCTTCTGCCTCCCTGCAGCGCCAAGACCGGCTCCCCATCCTAGTCCGCCGAACGCAAACCGCTGAGAGTTTGCCGAGCCGCCCCTTGGGGCCCGGGCCGCCGAGTCCCGCTCGGGCACGGCCGCCGCCAGCCGGCGAGGGAGCGCCGCCGAAGGAAAAGCAGCGGGCGCCCGAGGGGAGCCCCGGAGGGCGGCCGGGCCGCCGACTTAGACTCCGGGGAGGTCGCGCCGCGAGCCCCCGCGCTCCCCCCCTCCCGCGCGGCGCTCCGGGAGACGAACTTGCTCCGCTCGCGGCTCGAGCGGCGAGCATTTCCTAACGTGAGAGGCCGGGCGCCGCGGGCGAGGGGCGGGGAGCGGGCCCGGCGGGCGGCGAGGCGCCGGGCGGAGGCGGCGGGCCCCATGCCGGCGGCCAACATGATGGAGAGCCTGCAGCCGCCCGCCCTGCAGGTGCCCGAGCCGCCGGGCGCGCCCGAGGGCAGCCGGGTCTGGTCCAGCTCGTCGACCCCCACGCTCCGCCGCCGGCGCTTCAAGATGCGCCGCACCAAGAATGTGCAGGAGCCGAGCCTGGAGGCCGGGCTGAGCCGGGACCTGCCCGGCGTCTTGGCCCCGGGCAAGGAGTTTCTGCAGCTGCCGTCCATCGAGATCACGCCCTCCAGCGACGAGGACACCCCGTGGTCCAACTGCTCCACGCCCAGCGCTTCCCCGCGCCGCAAACGCTTCCTCCTCCGCAAGTGGCTGCGGGTGAGTGAGCGGAAGGAGTGCAGCGAAAGCAGGTACGTGCCTGTCCCGCCCCAGCCGTCTTCCCTTTTCCTCTCCGGCCTCCCCACGGCCGTCGGGGAGGTGGGGTGGGGGGTGCCCAGGGCACCCCGGGGAACTTCGCCGAGGATTGCAGGAGCCCTTCGCCAGGGTGGACGGCTTCCCCACGTGTCACCCATCTCCCCAGTCCAGGCCGGGGGGCCGGTGAGTTTCCATTACACGGGTACTCGGGGCTTCATGCTGCGTTCCATCCCATTGGATCCTCACAGCAACATGAATAGTAACAGCCATAGCAGCTGATGTTCATTGAGCCTTTATCATTCTCGGTCAGTACGATGGGCACGTCACAGTCCATCTCCACATTTAATCCCCACGAAACCTCCTTGAGGTCGGTACTCCCTGTCAGTCCCATTGTACAGACAGGGATCCTAGAAGGCGAGAGAGGTTAAGTGGCTCCTCCTCTCAGACTTCAGTTTCTAAGCTCCATTTCAATGTTTATTATTTTATTGTTGGCCACCCCAGGTTGCCTTTCCTGGCCCCCATGTGTAGAGGAGGTGGCGGAGTATTCACAGTGAGTGAGTCACATTTCTTAGACATCTAGGCCTGGTCCGCACCATGATGGTCTGTGCCAGCTACTTTTTGTCTGGACAAGCGTGGCATCTGAGTAGTCGGGGAGTTTGCTTTCCCTGGGCAGAGGACTGGTGTAGAAGACCATAGGGCAGCTCCACACAGCCTTGGCCAGGGGTTGTGTTTGAGCCAAGCCCATTGCCTGGTGGAGGAGGTGGGCAGTCCTCAGTGGCGCACTGATGTCTTGGACCCTCCGCATTTACCTTCAGGCTCTAGGGCCCTGTCTCCAAACAGTGGTCTGTGCCTTTGCGTGGGGCAGGCAAGTGATTGGCCACCTTCCCCGGGACGCCTCTTCCTAGTCTGTTCAATTCCATGCATTTCAGTTCAACAGGTATTTATTGGATGTTCTTGTGAGTTCAGTCTGGCACCAGCTAATGGTGCTATGGCCAGGAGGCAGGGAGGGAGGGTGGGTAGAGCTGGGTAGAGTGTGGGGATGTGGAAGTTGAGAAGGAGGATGGGAAGAGACTTGGATAAGAAATCACGGCATGTGAGTTTCCCTGGTACTGAGGAGATGGAATCTTTGGAAGACACAGACTATGTGTGCCATGTGGTACTGACTGTAAGGCAAAGAGAGGAAGAAGACTTCTGGAAGGAAGAGGCTCAAACCACAACATGTACACATAGGTAGTAGAAAACAGGAAGAATATAATGTCAGGGGCATGAGATCAGGAAAGGGGAACAGTACAGATGAAGGCATAAGAACAGGGTGAGATGTGTCGTTGAGGGGACGCTGAGGAATTGGGCTGGGTTACGCAGATGGTGAGCGTTTTACGCCTGCCACGCTTCCTTTCTCTTTTTTGGTGGTAATGACTGGATGTGGTTATCCCTGCAGGCGCAGATGTAAAGCTTTGTTCTGGGGCTTTTTGGGAACCTGAGGATAGCAATTCTTTCTATACTCTTACTTCATCCTGTCACCTTTTCCAGAGAGTAGAGGGAAATGGGGCAAGCTTGGTGGGAGCTAATCTTGAACTAAAATAGTTCCTCCGGGTTTGTCAGCTTTCCCTCCAAATGTGAGAAACCCTAAAAGAGGCCCTATTTTGCTCCTGAGATTCTGCCATGTACACTGAGGACAGAATATGGGGAAGATTCTTACGCTGGTAGCCGGGGAAGGGATAGGGGAGGGTTTGGTTAGATTTAGGGAAGTCTATCTTGGTTTCCAGAGTCTGTCTAAAGGTGCAGTGGAGGGACTTCCCTGGCCGTCCAGTGGTTAGGACTCTGCGCTTTCACTGCCAAGGGCACGGGTTCGATTCCTGGTCCGGGAACTAAGATCTCTGCAAGCCGTGTGGCCAAAAAAAAGGTTTAGTGGAATCTTCATTTTTGTTGGAGCAGGAAACATACTTTTAAATCAGGAAGGGTTTTCACCTTCTAGGAGTAGTTTAAAAACTGGCAGTTGGGGAATTCCCTGGCGGTCCAGTGGTTAGGACTCCGCACTCTCACTGCCAAGGCCCAGGTTCGATCCCTTGTCGGGGAACTAAAATCCCACAGGCCTCATGGCACAGCACACCCCCAGATGGCAGCTGTTTTCAGTGGCGGCTTGCTGGATTAGAAGAATATATGCATATATGTATAAAAAGACAACCTCTGGATTTAAACCCAAGTTTGTCTGACACAGATCTCTACTCTTAACCACTGTTAAACTGCCTCCTGTTGGACTCTATCTCGATTGTGGCCAAAACAAAAACCCATCTCTTTTAGGCCTTGGAAATAGAAGGCTTCTTGGAAAGAAAAGAAGCGGTCAAGTGAAGGGGTGCTTGTAAATGGCCAAGACGATTCCCTGAGGAGGAATTGACATTTAGAGGCAATAGGGCACGAAGAGAACTGGAACTCAAGTCAGGAGACGTGGGTTTAAATTTTAAGTTCTGTCATTTCTTCGCTGTGGAACCTTGGGCACCTCCCTTCACCTCTGTTTCATCTTCTCCATCTGTGGATGAATGGGAGGTCTCAAGTGATAGACGTGAAACTGTTTTGTAAACGTCCTCTTGCTGTGCAAGGGGGAAGGATTATTGGCATCATTCTATGAGTGACTCACATGGAGTGGATGTGTGCTTGAGAATATAGGTTACATACTCACGTGTCCTGGAGCAGCACCTGGGACTCCTCACACGTTACATGATTTGGATATGATGATTGGAAAGTGACCCAGCTCAGGCTTGGATTAGGGGGGTGAGCACACCAGGCCCAGCGCAGCGTCCTTCCTCTTCACTGTTCCCACCCCAAGTCTACCTCTCCACAACAGAGAAAAGCCCCTTTGAGGCCTGCGATGCAGTTCTATCTGAGGTAGAAGGCACGGGGTCAAGAGGGCCTCAGCTTGTGGATTTTAACTGCACAAAGATGAAGATATAAAGAGAATCAGGAGACCCCTTTCTTTTCCTTAATCCTGGGAAGAAAGAAGTAGAGAAAATGGTGAAGTTAGTGAAGACCTTGGGGGCCAGTACTCTGAGTCCAATTTTCTCTGTTTCATCCTTGGATCTTCACTGTCTAGCACTGTACTTGGCCTTTCGTCACGATCAATAGATGTTTATTGATGGGTAAATTAATAACGATTGAGTGAATGATTCCTTTTTCTTTCCTCTTTGGAGTGAAATTATCCTTATTCGTGAATCAGGGAAAATTTCCTGGAGGATATGAGTCCAGAACTGAGTTTTTTGACGTGTGACAGCTTTATTGAGATATAATTTACATGCCATGCACTTCAGTCAGTTTTAAAGTACATAATTCAATGGTTTTAGTATATTCACAGATATGTGTAACTCTCACCACAGTCCATTTTACAACATTTTCATGACCTCGAAAAGAAACCCATACCCTTTATATATTACCCTCAATCCCCCTCTACTCCTTGCCCCCAGCCCTAGGTGATCACGAATCTACTTTCTGTGGAGAGCTGAGTTTTGAAGGGGAACCAGAAGCCTCTTGGTGAAGGCAGTTTGGGTGTGTTGGCTTGAAGATGGGGATGGATGACCAAGTGTGGTCTTGATGAGGGATGTGGAAAAATGAGGGTGGTGAGGTGATGGGCCGACAGACTATGATTTATGCTGAAGGGTTTGAATTTCAATTAGTCAGTCAGTCAACAAAGATGTATTGAGATCCTATGGACAGTGTGCGTTGTCTGCAAAGAGGATTCAACTCAATGGGGAGCCATTGTAGGTTCCGGAACCCAGGAGAGACATGCTCAGAATGGTATTGGAGGCAACGAATTCTTGCTGTTCTGTGTGAACCAGGTGCGAGGTAGAGGCCTGAGCCTTGCACTGTTCTTCCAGCACTTACTGTTACAGCTGGGAATTGTCATCTTAGCCACTGTTTAACATAAGGTGGCACCGTTTTTTGCTGGCCTCGTTGCCCTCTGAGCTCCACGGATAACGTAGTCTGAAGTTGATGGGGCAGGCTTTTAGAATTAGTACCTGCATGTCTGCCCAAATCCCTTGGCCATAACTGGTTGTGGTGATTGTTCAAAACCCAAATTGAGGATTAGAGTCCCTCTCTCACCTGCTGGATTATGGCAAGAGGTCAGAATTGGCAGAGACACAACTTTTGTGTCTCCGTGATGGCATCCTGACATCATTCTCTGGAGGGGGAAAGGAGAGCTGACAAGGGGCAAGGGTGTAGGTGTGGCTGCCTGACGGCAGGCTGCCTTTATGGGGGGCACAGAAGCGCTTCTCTGCTCTGTCTCCCCAGGCCGCCCTCCTTATTATTACCTCTTGCACCACTTTCCCATGGCAGTTCTGTCCCCTCTTCTGTGTGACACATCTACCCTGTCATGACTTCTGCTCGGCTGCACACCTGACCTCAGGTGGCACCTCTCACTGATTCTGCCGGCCTGGTGAGCCTGGTTATCTATCTGGTGCCAGTCTAGCTGGCACGTGGGTGTGCACATAATGATTATTCATCATTGGTATATTTATCGTAAGTCTTCATCCCCTTCCTCTGACCTTCGGAGGGAGTCTTGCTTTCGGTTTCAGCTCAGTTTCCAGGGAGGAGGCTGATGTGTGCTACATCCATCAGCTCCGTGTGGACCCTGACATCTGGGAGAAGTACAGAGTGTGGGAGGGAGGTAATTCATGTCTTTCTTCACACAAAGCATCAAACAGGAGACCTGTGATTTGTCAGCAGATTAAATAAATTATTGGTGCTGGATAAGGTTAAACTAGGAAAAACCTCTCTCCCAGACCCTTATTTCCTTGAGGGCGGGGACTGCATCTTACTTTCTGCTAAGCGCCTTAAATACACATTTAATCCTCACAACAAACCCCCAGGTGGGTTTTACAGCTGAGGAGCCTGAAGTTCAGAGATTCATTTGCTCCTGGTCGCACAGAAGCAAGGGTGAGATCTGAATCACATTCTTTTGATTCCAGAGCCCGGGCTCTTTACAGCTACACTGAACCATCTCCCC